CATCTTATAACCAGATGCATTCTCTATGGCCATTTAATCGATAGCCAGATAACGATTATAGACTTCCAGTTATTACAATTATGAATATATATATATATATATATATATATTAATTTCTTTTCCAAATTATTTTATAAATATAAAACTTTGAATTGACAAATTTTTGTGTTTACATATAATATTATTGTATTATTCGTCATCAATAAAAATATTTATTAGTCGTACTTTTTTGCTATATTACCGTAAATATATTTGACGGACTCAAACGAATCGGACGCAAATTTCCTGCGTGTGGAATTTTTTAATACTATGTAAACTTCTGCCCTATTTAAAAATTATTAAATGTCCCGAAAAAAATACATATACAAGATGGTTTATTAATGTATTTAATAATATTTAAGATAATGTTTACGAGCAGACATCTAACCAGGTGTGGGTGAAAGCGGTAATTTTCGTTGCATTCGCTAGGCATTTCACTTTGCGACTGGTGCTGCTAGAATTGGTATAATCTCGTTTATATTAAACGTTTTCTAACAAGTTATTTTGCATCTGTATACCATGTTCATTTAAAATCTAAACAAACGATGATGTTATTAGGTTACCGGTACTGACAATTTTGTTCTATTATTTACTGTAAACATATCCATAAGATTTATTAGTCTTTAACGTTTAATATAAATCAATCTAAACATTATAAAAATATTGGTCTAGGTTAATAACATACTTTATCGTATTATATGATTAGCAGAGTTATTGATAGTGAATAATTATAAGAAAAGATGATTTGCGCATTCATTAAACTTAACACATAACTTGCGCAAATTTCCCAACGAAATTTAACACACAACCTGAATTTATTTACCAACAATATGTTAAAGACGTTGAATAAAATATCCCATAGTTTTATTGATGAAGTAAAGCAAAGTGCTGGATGGATAAATATTGCTTACGTACTTGTTTATTGGCAATAGTTGGAAGGAAATTCTCAAGTGACATAAGATCGATGGTTCGCGATGGCTAAACCTATTCTTATTCATCTTGGCACTCATTGAATAAGTGCAGACGTAACTTATTGTTACAAAGAGTTAGCTTGAAGTTACATTCGATTTTACAGATATAAAATCAGTCTGGGAAACCACGTACTTTATATTTTCCTACTTCTCTACGAGCATATTTTGGCGACTCTACTTGCGTAATGCTGTTTTCTTTTCTATATTTTTTTATAATTACAGAATTAATTAATAAGTGAAGACGAATTTCTCACTGAATACGAGAAAAATAGCGACGGAATCTATTTGAAAACAAAAAAGTTACAGAGGATGATATTAGCTACATATATGTATTTGTCTTTCTGTGTAGAATCAAATACGGAAGATTTCATTTTAATTTTGCGTAAAAGTGCGTATAATGAGGTCATATATGTTTACAACTTTAAGATAAAAACAACTTGAAAATTAAATAAATTCAAAAGCAACTCATGATCACCTTGCTGTACCTGTTCGTATTCAATTAGACTAAAAGCACCGTTGCGAGGTCAAGTGTAATGTTTCACACAAGGACAGTACAATGATACAGAAAAGTAGGATACAGGACTCAACACCGAGGCGGAACAGTGTTACTTTGAAGTGTGAGTTCAAGCAACAGCAGTACTACAGTCTATTGTTCTGCTTCACTGTTCTGTCCTCATGTGAAATTAGTGTAATCGTAGTGAGGTCAATGGGCGATATTGTCAGGCGACGCACACGCCACTTCCGTTACACTTAAAAAGAGATAAAGTGCAGAAAATTAATTTACATAATTACGATACAATCAACTTAGTTTAACTTATTGTGGTTGTGACATTTTTTTAGTGTTGAGTGCCTTTTTTCACCAATTATCAGTCGACTAACAATTAATATTAGGCAGTGTCTCAGTATTGCTTAAATGTCATAGTACAGAGTTATTGCACTTTATAGAACAGTACGTAAAT